GGATGAATAAAAGGCGGTAGTGATCGGCTAAGGATCAGGGTATTTGATCAACAAAAAAGAGCCGCCAGTGAAAGAGTGTACCTAGTGCGCGATTACTTTGTGTTCGGTTAAAATGTCAGATTGAGGTGTTAGACCTAAAAAGTATAAAGGGTTCAGTTTGAACGCTTGGTTAAAGTTCGGTTTGATCACAAAAGCCTTAGCACCAAAAGTCTCCCCGATTGGCGCAGTGTATGCGTTAACATTATTATCAGCGAAGTGATCGTAGCTGATATGCCGTCATGGTAGACGATATGCGACTGGCTCTGCGCCGCTTCAGTCACTGTGCTCAGTCCGTACAATGATCTATACGGGTTACTGGCGTAAAATAAAAGGAAAATGGAATTGGGACAATTCCAGGCAATTATTTGTCACGACAAATAAGGGCACTGCTTAGTGGTTTAAATCAGGCCCGTTGGCAACTAATTAGGCAGTGTTTCCGTGCCTCATCAATAGGTGACTAACAAAAGAGTAGGGTTAAATCCTCGGGCTTAACCGACTAGTGACGGCACATAAGTCGGAAGTGACTATCCCAGCTTCCTTTATTTTATTACTACTCCTTTGCGTTGACAGTAGAGCGCTTGCAAGGGATCTAGACCAAAACTGTAAAGACAATAAGACCGTTGGTATCGTCGGGGGACGTTGGTAAACGCCAGCCAATATTAACGGAAAAAATAAAAACGGGAAGTTACAATTCAGGGGGATGTGGTCGCAATATTCAACGCCAAGAAAAAAACAAATTCGTAGGTTATGGAAAATTTAATGGCTGCGAAGATAGGGCTTGAACGCACTAAGTGTGGCAGGAAATTTGCAGCTCGCAGAACAACCAACTTGGTCACTGAAGTGAGCGATAATAAATCTATATTACTGATTTCTAATCGTTTTATCTCCAGTGGCAACTACAACGTTACTATGGTCTGCATATGGTCAGGCTGGTTATGGCACTGCCACATTTTCTATATACGTGATTGCCTGTGGTTGGGGAAATAGGGTACGAGTTGGAAACAAGGACGCTAGGAGCTTTTCTGTGTCATAAGACATGGAAATTCTGCGTATTAGTTCTCGTCAACCACTTTTAGCACAAGAGTTTCCACGCTCACTTGGCGTTTAGCTGATTTCTTCATCCCACGCTTGACTGAAGCCATTCTCGTATACCTTAAATCAACGATCATTTTATCCGCTTCAGTATTTCGGACGAAATTTTGTAATGCATTTTTTCTACTATACTTTCTCCCGCCCAAAGTAAATTCTTACACCCACAGGCATGACTTCCTTGCACATAGATTTTCACATTTTGGTGCTAAGAAAATTCCCTTCACAACACACATTTATCTTTTCCCTGTCAACTCGTGGGGTAATGGTATTCTTTTTATAAAGTTGGGCCAACATTTCACCCAGATTTTATCATAATTCTGAGGTGTGTTTCTATTTTATCAATTTGTAGAAGCCTCTTTTTTAGCTGGCCTTCTTTTATCGAAAAAATAAGACAAAATATTTCCTACCAGAAGGACCAGTTGGAGAAATTTGTCGTTACCTATCAGCCTTGCCGTCACACCTTCAATACCGTCTTTTAGAATTGAATATGACGGACCAGCATTGCATATTAGGGGGACTTTGTTAGAACGTGCATTATTTTGTTATATTTAGAAATCATGGTGTTATTGTGAAATTAAAAGCAGAAACTGGAAGACTTGCAGGGCCTTACGTGACAACTCCTGCTTCGCCTTTGAAAAATTCAAAAATTAGAACGGTGGTTACTTCGTAACGCCATCGCTGAGAATTACTGGGTGATACAGGCAAAAGACTTTCGCTCACAAGAGAAACTGTGGTAAGATCCCCTTTTGTCCTATTCTTAGGCCTTGCAGCAACAAAAATATACCAAGGAACGCGTTGGATTTCCCATTTAACTCATTCCACCAAGACGAATATCCTTTTAACTTGGTGAAATGTTACCTCGTGTGTGGGAGTGAGTAAACAGCCTACGGAAGGTAAGACGTGAAGACTAGCCAGAAGGTTTTCTCTACCTCACAGAGAAGGACCTCCTGACGCGTATTAGGAAAACTAAGGAGCGTTGGCAATCTAAATCCCTCACTTAAAACAACGGTCTCATGAGCCAAATATTGCATTTAGAAGGAGAAACAGAATAAAATATATGGTCGTATTCTGTGTATGTGGTTCTCCTGCAGGCACGTGCAGGTTGGCACCTTGGGACTGCTCATAGTGAACATACACAAGCTGCCAACCGACATGCCTCCCTAACACGCCTCGTTTTATATGTAGTCCCTTGAAAACGGATTTAAGCTTGTCGGAAGCTAGCTGCATGACCACACCAACCCCCTCTCCCCGTATTGAGTGATGACTGTAGTCCAAAAATAACAGTATAATTTAAACCTCGATGCACGTTACGAAAGCCGACAAGCACACACCTCTGATCACTTTATCTTCAAAGCACTGGAGCATGGCAATGACATTTCCGTACTGCCCACCGATCCACTATTCAGTCCGAGCTAAAATTGATGATAGTCATCCTTCTCCACCCACCTACTGTCACCAGCATGTAAACGTCAATCTTAGCATGTCTACGCTTCACCTTCCACTCCCGCCCGAGCTCTTCTGTCTAATAATAGGCTTTTCAAGGCCTCGCAAAAAACCCCTCGTTTTCCAGCAACACAAGTGTCAAACAATGTAATCTAAAACAGCCTTTGTGTGAAATTAACGGTAAAAAATACAGGGTAGCGTCACTTCCAGCTGCGATCGGATATCCCCCTATCGGATTCGCTTAAGAAGTTGTGCACACCATTCTCCCTTCATTTCGCGCGGCATTTGAACCAATGAAATGTGAAGTCCTTCGCCTTATCTGCTAACTGGCCAATCAGAGTACGAGGCGCCGGCACAGCAGGAAAGGATCATCACCGAAGCGCCCCCGTCCAATGATAATCGAGGGTGGACAGCAGAGCGGAAATAAGAACCACGTCAACTAGAAATGCCATAAAAAGGACATTTTCCGATTAACAAAAACCCTGACTTGGAAACAAGGTAAACGTGCACGTTTTCGGTTTTCAATTATGCTTTGCAACGACTTTACTTATTCTATGGCTATAACGACCACTTTTATGACAAATTATTGTAAAATAAGATAATGTCTTTCATTTGCTGCCCTACATTGTCTATAGCACTTTGCATCTCCTAGGTAGTTAAGGCCAGACAAGTTAGAAGCTGATGACTTATGAGTGTCAGTCTGCATAAAAGCTGTTAGATAGGATCTAAGCTTTTTAAATATAAAACATGGCGGGTTTCAGAATTATATGCGTTACGGTGCATTAACATTTTTGTTACGTTTTACTTCCAATTTGACCCCCTGTTACTATTTAACTCCCAATGAAGACTGACTGAGTTCTGTGTAGTGACGACACGCAAAGCACTTTTAGTACGATTCTTTCATAGTTTATTTAGTATATAGTATATGGCTCCCGCCGCAGGACATAGGAATAGGAACCACCCGTAATACAGGTGCCTCTGTACTAAATTCCGGAGAATTATATTCAGGATTAAGGCTTGGGTTAGCGCTAGGCCACGGAAGTATTTAACCCTCCTGCAAGTTAGCGTTAGAGCACCGGTAGTACCGCGATGCTGGCCGTTCTTATTCGCGCTTCCAATCGGTTAGAGCCATAAAAGTAATCTCGACTGATATAATATAATAATATTTAAGAGACCGGGGCATGGAGTAACAGCTTACCATTCCTATAAATGCAGTATGTATGGTGGGGCTCGCAATAGGGTCTACTTAGAATAATTCTTCGTGGCCCACCTCCGTTCAAACTATGGACGTTCCATCGCAACCAAGATATTTCAATTGTGGGACTGAGGTGAGATTTTTCGGCCGCAGTTGGACTGCTGTTGACCCAGCCCAAATAATCTACGGCAACTAATAAAATCCTTCCTTATAAAGGGCATATTAGACTTTCCTGGACTTTGCCTGGCCATTCCTGTGCCAAGTTTAAAATCAACTAGTGCTCCTTTAAACTGTTCTGGGGTTCACACTTTTTTGACAACGTCATTAAATTTTCTACCTCATAAATTCTCTTGAATTCCCCAAGGAAACCCCCTGATGCCGTCATAACAGCTGCAATGTCTTTCTCTTATGAGACGTATGCCGTGCGTATGAGTTTAAAATGGACTTTAACGTAGGGAGTTAGCATACACTCCGGAACAGGTTTGGCTCTGGCATTTTGGTTAGCAGTTGCCACACAACTATACATTGTAGGCATACCATCGTTATCTTGAATTTAAAAAAAAACTTCGATGATGATGAAATGGACGATTAGCTTATTCGGATAAAAATTCCGAAACGAAAACTCGAAGTGAAGAGTTAAAAAGGAATGCTTATACAGCTCTTGTCAGGGCAGTTGATACGGAACTATTCATCTCTAAGTACCATCCTCCAACTTACTTTGTTTGAACGGTGTAGACAACAGTGTAGAAAAATCAGATAACTCTCTGACAAGTCTTTTTCCCTCCTCTTTCTCTTCCAAGCAGATGAACGGAAATCACGCCGGTTACAGTCTGCTCTCCGCTTTACCGCACCCCTACACACTACCGGTGTTTCAAGGATTGAGTCCCAACTTCCAGATGGTTCCGGGAGGGAGCATGAATCCAGCTTGCCCTATGGACTTCCTCGCGCCCTTGCCCCTGTTGTTTTCCAGTACACTTCGAGCCATGGGACTTCCTCCGCTTCTGTCTCAGTGTGGGGAATTGACGGAACCACTGCCACCTAGTTTGGCTGGTTCCACAGCTGTGGAGATCCCCCAGCCCAACTTTCAGTTTGAGCAGCCCTCCCTGTCCTCTTCGCCCTTCCGACGAGCGGATAGCAGATCTCAGCGCATGGGAGGTAAATGGCCTCTCCTACGGCATGAAGAGGCTAGTTTTACCTCCTCCAGTTGCACAGAAGGTAGTGGCGAGGCGAATGTAGTAGACATAGAGGCAGATTGGTCTACCACAGAAAGTTGTTTTCACGAGACCAGCTTGCCGGAGAGGAGGAGAAGGATGGCAATGGAAGGAGGGAGAACGGAGAAAGGAGGAGCTGGTGATCAAGTCAAGACTGTTGAAGAAACCTCAGGGTCCATGCATGATACGACGGTAGCGAAGCGACGACTGGAGGGAGAGAGTCTGTCCAGTAGCGAGGCCAAACGCTATCGGACTACCTACTCGGCCTACCAGACCAAGGTGCTAGAGGGAATGTTTGAAGAGGAGCGCTACATCAGTCGACCGCAGAGAGCCCAACTGGCCGCACAACTGCAGCTGCCGGAGAATACGATTAAGGTAAGTCTACCTTTTCTTTTTTGGGCATGTGATCATTTCTACATTTCATAATATAGCAGACATTCTGATAAAAGACTGGAATAGGAGCAGTTATCATAATACAAGTGACCTTGCGCTAAATTCCGGGAAGATTAGGGTTAAGGCTAATGTTAGTGTCATAGTTAACTTCAGAGTTAGGGTTAGGGTTAGAGGTAGGGGTAGAACATGTGAATATCCTCGCTTAGTGGAATTTATCTCGTTTAATTTCCGAGGAAATGAAGGCACAAAGTTGGAGTATATCCTTCGGATCAGAGTTTTTCAGACATGCCTCCGAGAGCTACTATCGTATAACTACGTACTATTCACAAAATGCCAACTGGCAGTCAATAGTATAGACTAAGTAATTATTTACTCCCTGTATTACTGGCGGCGGGGAGGGGGGCAAGTAATTTGATTAAAAGCGAGGCGCAGCCTTTGGTTTATGCTGACTTTCAGTTGATGATGCAGATTTTAAGTTGAAGAGTAATAACAAAAACTGCATAGCTGTGAGGACGGTGCGTCTGCTTTGTAAGCCTTGTATATAAATCATGAAACTAGTTGATGTTATCGAACTTTCTCAGTTACTCTACGAAACTGCAGACGAGTTCAGTGTTATCTCATTGGGTTTCGCCATCATTTTTACGGCCTGGATGCACACAGTTTTGTTTTCATGTAGAGTATTCCTCCCTTAGTTGTTGAATAAAGTCATCCTTTTCCTCTTATACAGGTTTGGTTTCAGAACCGTCGGATGAAGGAGAAGCGTATGTCACTCATGCTCCCCAACTTTGCAAGTAAGTAAATAACTTCATTCACTACTTGATCCCTCACAGCCGGTACAACCTTGTATTTTTGTATGGTTCTTAGGCCAGACGTGGCTGCCCGTGCCAACTTCTCGTTTGTCAGTTATCTTCAGCCAGTCATACCCAACTCCATATTTGTATAAGCTGCAACTGGAATCAGTACTGCGCGTGAGGTTCGGGCCCCGACCATCAAGCCAGGCACCCGTCATTCTGGCAGTGGTAGTCGGGCATGTTAAATAAGACGAGAAAGTAATGCACCCATCTCGTTAAAGTAGTTTATGCACCGTACCGTCATGGCTTGGAGTCCAACATAAAACCCTTATAAGCACTTGTACCCAATTCCAGGTGTGGATCACCCGGAATTAGAACCCGAGACCTTTGGTCATTAAGTATAGCACTCTACCACTGTACCACGGGCTTGTTGCTTTGTCGGTTGCGATCGGAAATATGATGGAAGTAGGGTACCCAACGATCTATCTGATTAAGGTACATCCTCGTCTCGTTTTATATCAATACAGAGACGGGGTGGATTTAAACAGTCTGTTTCGGACATAATCCGCCTTCATGGAGCCAATCATAACCCTGACATAAGCTGGGATTGGGTATGCCTGGCTAATGACGGCTAATAAACCAGGAATTGCCATTTCGGTCTCCATTGTCTTTGTCGGTTCCACTCCATTATGTCTGAAGTCAATAAGTGGCTGCCTTCCATCACTCTAGAACGAGGCTCAAGACACAACGGGACACGTATGTTCCATAATCAGATAGATCGTTGAGCCCCCTACTTCCATATTTGAAGATACCGTTAATTGTCATTTCAGGTAGGCTCATAAAACGACTATTGGCTGGCTGCAGTGACATCTGTGACTTGTATCATAGCTAATACCTTTGTAAATTGTAACATCTCAACTAGAACTTAAAGCACATTTTTAACAGAACTAAATGAACCTCTGGAAAGTTAAGTCTGTCAACAAAATTCAGTCAAAAGAGTAGGACACTATAGTGAAAAGTAATTAAAATGAAGAGTTGCATTCTGCGGGAATGCTGACACCAGTGCTGGAGAGGGGGGAAGTCTTGCAATAAGGAAGGATACTCAAGAATTCTTATAGAAGAAATAGCAAAAGCAGATAAACTGCAAGAATTTTTATCAGCTATTGCGTGTTGACACGGTGTTTTACCAATGAGTCAAATTCTGGGTTTTTTAAGACAACAGTATAGTCAGAATTTGTCCTATGCCTGTGGACTTACAGGCTTTTGTCACACCATTCAGAGATCCAAAAACCTCATCGTAAGAAAAAATCCTCTAAATCTCAGACATCTGCAGCCCATAAGGTACGGGAATTGAAACAGGTGTCCCTGGGCCAAATTTCCTGAAGGGTAATTACTTCCATTTCCCAACCTTACTCATAGCCTTAACCTTAACTCTAAGCCCTATATACCTGCAATTTAGAGCAAGGCCATCGATATTGGGGGAGTTTCTATGCGCGCGTCCTTCTCTGTAGTCAATTTATTCAAAATACGTTTGACGCCCACAGCGAAGACCCATTTTAATGACAGTAACATTAATTGTATCGCTTATAATTTCTCATCACCCTTATTAATTTACAATGCCTATTGAGTTCACTTCATGACCAGTGGACGGCGTGCGTTTTTGCCGCGAGGTCGCATGTATTTCTTTTTCGAAGCCTTTAAATTGCAAGGGTTTCCTCCGGCACTTCCTTATTATATGACGACATCTTATTCCCCCTCCTGACGAGTCGGTAAACAGTACGCATCTAAATAACCTTTAGAGACACCCGAATGGCTTACGTATTTTGTTGGTGTTTACTACTCTTTGCTATCAGTGTGCAAATGATTTAACCCAACCTGTGTTGTGCGAGTAGGACTTTCAGTGCATTCCAGCTGCTTCACACCTAGCAAATCCTCAAAAGAGTTAAGTAAATGCATTTTGAGTGAATAGGGAGCCAATTATGGCTGTAGAAGCGCTTTGTACAGGCGTCGAATTATAATGAAAAAGAATTGCGCAACTCTAAGCTCATCCACTGTGATCCAGTGAGAAGGCGATTGGAGATGATCATGGGGGCACATAAATAGGGACGATACTCTTCCGATGTCAATCGCGTGTTGGTCGAGGGCCGAAGTGATTACCGATGTGCTGTTGGCTACCCGCCCGCGGGTGCGACATAAATCCCGCTTGTCACACACCACGGACTGGTTAAACGGAAGTGTCGGCGTGTTCACTCAGGCGTATAAACTCTCAGTCAGATTGGTGTTGAGGCCAGAGGGCGGGTGAACCTGGGCATGAGCAGGGGGGGGCTAACACTGACAACGTAATC